ACAGGGAAGCATCTGTTTGACCTTGGTTACTGTGTGAACCTCATAGTAGTCAATCCTAGATCATAGAGCGGTTGACCCCAAAAACCCTCCAACGGAATAGCTGGATGATTGCTATTCTGAAGTTTTAAATATACCTAATATAAATTAAGCTACACGAGAAAAAAGTGGGAGTGATAGAAATGAGAATGCTAAGATGGATGAGTGGACACACTAGAAAGGACATGATACAAAATGATAATATATGAGTGAATATTGGAGTAGTATCTATAGTGGAAAAGATAACTGAAAATCATCTAAGGTGGTTTAGTGATGTGCAAAGAAGACCTTTGGAGTTGCTAGTAAGTAGAGTAGATTTTACCTTAGACGAAGTTATTGAAAGAGATCTTTTGATTAACCACATGTCTGAAAAATTTGGTTTTTGACCGAATTTAATGGTTTCGTGTGATTCATGTAGTCGACCTCACCTAGTGAGATAAGGCTTGGTTTGTTATTGTATAAATTAAGCTACACCCATATATATGCTGAAAAATATAAAATTAATACACAAATTAAAGACATGTAATTAGTGATGAAAAGTGAAAGTTTGAGAACATAACACATGTCAAATGTCAATAATAACAAAATTAAGGAACCAACAGAGGTAGTTCCTTGTGACTGATTGGGGGGAACAATCATTGCTTCTGTATGAGGTGTTTAAATTTGGAACAAAACAGAGAAGGAAATAAATAACAAACAGCAAAGGGAAATAGAATACAGAGTGTTTAGTCACCAGAAAATGTTTGGGTCACCTTGGAAACTTTGCTGAAGATGAAGAAGATGACCGAAAAATGTCTAGTCACATCGGAAGCTTCACTGGAGATGAAGATGACTAGAAATGTATGGGTTACGTCAAAACATGTTGCCAGAGATGAAGAAGAATGGAGATGAAGAAGATGACAAGAAGTTGGTCGGAAATGGTGACTCTTGATATCGCACTAGAGAAGCAAGAGAAACTGAAAGCATGTCACACTAGAAAAGCAAGAGAAACAGAAAGGGAGGAAATGTTAGGGCTCGATGAGGGAGAAGAAGATATCAGAAATGTAAAAGGGGAGCAAAATCCCAAGATTGTCCCTCTTAAAAGTTGGCTACTATGGTGGACCTTTGCATGTAACCAAAATCTTCAGAAGTAAGTGGTATTTAGGGACTATGGGTTGTAGTTGTAGGGAATTCCCTATGTTGCATGGAGTACGGGTGGGCAATGCTATTGGCTCGTAAAAATCAACAATGTTCCCTCTTGTATTGTACTGATTGCATTTGCAATGAATGTGGCAACCATCAATATATGGAAATATTCATTCATATCTTGATCATAGAGTATATTAGAATTATTTTAATATCTAATGATTTGTTTCCTCCTAATTAGGATTATTAGTATATAAGTAAGGTGAGTGCTTTACATCATAGTAGTCAAAATCACGTGTTGGCTTGTAAAATCGCATGATTTTATGATTCCCAACCCTCTCTCTGTGCTAGCTTGCTGTCAAAAAATAACTAGGATCGGGTGGGATCGCCGTCCTGAACCATAAAATCGGTAAGCACGAATGACCCCAGCATGCTGAGAAAACCCAATTTTTAACCCCAATGACCTGTGACCCGCGTTTTTTTGACTCTGTTTGCTTAAAATCTATTGAAACGCTAAAATCCCCAAAATTTACTCAGAATTTCCTTCCTTCCTCTACTCTGCAATTCTGTTTCACTTTACACAACCCCGTTTTGCTTTGCTCTGGCGACTGTGGTTTGTTCTGGCGATTGTGTGATCTGCAACCTGCGAAGCTTCATTTTTCGACTTGCGAAGCTTTGTTCTGCAACCTACAGCATGTTCCGTCCTGCTGTTGTGTGATGCTACGCCGCTGCTGTTCTCTCTCTAGATTCTTTCGGTGTTTATGTGGTTGGGGCTGTTTTTGCTTGTCAATTTAAGTTGCTAAATTTATGGCTTTATCTTTTAGGGTTTTTTAAGGGTAAAAAAGACTTTTTATCTTTTAAAAATAAACTGACTTTTCTTTTTTACCCTTAAAATGACACTTTTAAATTTTTTTTAAAGGGTAAAATAATCTTCTCATTAGAATACATTACCTATCTTATCTTTTTCCTCCCGTCTCTCATCTTCATCTTTGCTCTGTTTTAGTGGGCATCTGGCTTTATTTAGCATCTCTCATCTTCATATTTATACTGTTTTTTATGTATATATACAATTTGTAGGATCTTACGATCCATGTTAGATCTTTCATCTCCTTTCCGATCCTACGTAGAATCTTGATTTTGACTACCATGCTTTACATCACAAAATCAAGAAAATATTATTCAAAGTCTTGATTCTGTCATTTTCCTCTCTCAATACTTTTAATCCAAATAATATCAACCACTAGGAACTATGAGAATGAATCTGTTTGACTTTCGAGAAACACAAAAAAATCTTAATTCACTTTTACTATGGTCTATGGGTGGTGTAATTGTTGCAAAAATTTATGGTGAGAAAATGCTTTTTAAAAGAAGGATTAGAAGGATTGACAATGATAATTTGGGCCATAAATGAAGAATTTGATAGGTAGACATTAGTTGGTTAGATAAATAGTTAGAGGTATAATTAGTTAATCTTAATCAGAGAGTTAGTTAGTTAGTTGGGAGCTGGTTTCAAAAGAGAAATATGTGCCTATAAATAAGAAAATGGCCTGACAGGAAGTTTTTATGTTGTGATTTGAGAGGAAATGCAGATTGTTGAGTGAGAGTCCAGGCCTCTTATAAGTCTTGGGAATCATTTGTATTCTTTTCTGTTAGTAGAAATTTTCTTTCTACGATTCTGATCTAGTTTCTATCAGAATCCTACGCTAGAGGCCAAGGTTGTCAAAATTGAGTTTCAAGGTTGGAGCAAAGGGGGGTCTTGAATTGTGGAATTGGTGGATTATAGCACGACTCCTCGGAGTCAACTAAATTGCAAAATTATATGAAACATCCTTAAATCACACCAAACATTTAGTTAAACTTCAACTAAAGACTCATAGGTCTTTAACAACTCAAGTTATAAAGTCACATAAGTTTTTACCAAAACAAAAGCAATACATCATAATATTAAAGCATAAAAGGAAATAGTTCAACATTTCAACTCTAAACATCTAATAAATCATTCAAGTTTTGATCAAAATAGTTAATAGCATGCGATAGTGCAACTATCATGGTGGAGCAGAGTGGCTCCCTGCTGTGTTTCAGAGCTCATTGTGTTGCGGTTTTTGAGGAGTGACTGTCGTGGGGTGAATCGCGGGCATGAAAAGGGAAAATCTTGACCGCCATATCACATAGGGTAAAATTTCAAGTTTGTCCCCCCTTTTTGAATGTAGAAACGCTTTTTAGTGGGGCAATCTTGGGATTTTGCTCCCCTTTTTACATTGCTGTTTTCTATGTAGGATTGCTTGAAACCAAACCCTAGTACTTCGTCCTCCATCTCCAACAAATTATCGTTGGTTCTGCGCGCTTTGTAGCGGGCAATGTAGTTTTCTGGTGCAAGTCACCATTTTTGGCCAAGTTTTGGCTGTCTTCATCTCTGGCAAAACCCAAACAATTTAAGACCTGACCCATCTGCATCAGAGGAGACCCAGTCGTTTTCCAACGATACCTAGACATTTTTCATTGATACTCAAACTTTTTTTGGTGATACCCAAACATTTCTTTTGATGATTTTCGGCGAGCTTAGAGCTTTTTTCCAATTGACCACTCTATTTTTTGTTTTCCTTCTCTGTTTTGTTTTTCTTCTTTGTTCTATTTTGTTTTTCCTCTTTGTTTTAGTTCATCATATATATATGTGTAGCATAATTTATATTTAGTTTATTTCAAATATTTAGAATAGTGACCATCCCACTATCCACTATCCCGCTATATTGTTTTTGGGGTTGGCCATTCTGCCTTGCTATTTGGGATTGACTTCTATGGTTTTCAACATAATAATCATCCTCTATCTTGTCTCATCTTCATCATTTTCTATAACATCTCCACCTACACCAATCTTAAGCTCATCTAAATTAGGAATCTCCAAATTATCAAGAGGGCAAAGACAACATCGTCATCAACATCTTTTCCCATTGGAAGCAAGTCTTCTTTGTTTGAAATATCTATATCCATATCCAAATCTGAATTTTCAGCATTTTCCACTATCCAATCATCATCAGGGGAAAGATCTTCTACATTATAAACATTTGCTCTCATAGCTTGCTTTTTCTTGCCTAATTTAGAGTTGGTTATTACAAAGACAACACCATTCATTGTCTTATGCTTCAAAAATTTTCTTCCCTTGGTGTGGACCTAAATAAATACTAAATCAACACCTAAATTAAGCTCTTCCGAACACTCCCTTATTCATGAGTTCTATGTTTTACTAAAATATATTCATGTTTAAATTCCTGCGCTGTGGTGCCAAATGATTTTGAGGACTATTTTGATCGATCCTGGAATTTTCCAACAAAGCCAAATGATTGATATTATTATTGCTATTGTTATTGTTGTTGTTATTATTATTATTAAATTTCAAAGAGTTTGCTATGTAGCAGGAATTTATTGGGTAGCTAATTATTATGGGCATTACAATTTGTGGTTTATATAGGGATTTCTATTTGGTGTTTAGTAATAAACTAAGAATGTTTGTAAAAATAAGGGTAGTATCTGAGTTGTTTAGTTAGGATTTGTGCCACTGCTTCTTTGGTGTAAATGCTCAAACATGGTTTCTCAACACTGCTTATCAAATGCATCATCATGCTGAGTTATTATTACTGCATCTGGGAGAACTAAAGTAATATAAAAACATTCTTGATTGAGCTCAACCTAATGTTTTGAATTCTGTAAGTCCTGTAGCTATTATTTCAGTTATACAACTTCTATATATATATATATAAAATTAACATTACTCATATATAATATATCATTACAATCATTTAAAGTTATATTATAATGTCATCCAATTTGGCCATTGATTCAATTAGCTAAACGAATCTAACTGTATATTCAAACAGTCTGGGCTTAAAAATAATGGCAGCTGCACCTGCACAAATTCCTACAAGCTTTGGGCATGAGTTGAGGGCTTGTCTTCGTTGCCGCCTTGTCAAAACCTATGATCAGGTCTTATTGCCCTTTCACATTTTCATTATCTTTCCTTTTGATTCTTATTTGTTTACATTTTTTTACACAGTTCAGAGAGTCAGGCTGTGAGAACTGCCCATTCTTTAAAATGGAAGAAGATCACGAACGTGTTGTTGATTGCACTACCCCCAATTTTAATGGGTTTGTTGGTTTCTATTCTTTTATGTCAAAATCTCTTCACCTTTGAATCTTTCCATACTCATTTTATTTTCATTTAATTTTTCCACAGGATCATTTCAGTTATGGATCCTACCCGGAGTTGGGCTGCCCGTTGGTTGCGCATTGGTATGTTCATTTAATTCCTGTTATCATAAATTTTCCTTGCCTCAACTTTCAGTTTTCTTTTTCTTGACAATATTCTTATGATGGTCTTTGGAATATAAAACATCATGATATTTTTTTCTAAAGTTTGTCTTCTTTTTCCCTTTTCTTTCAACTGCAAAGAGCCATCTACTTTTATTACTAAATTTCTATTCATAATTATTAGTATGAATAGAAAGAAACAATCTAAGGTTTTAAAGATTTAAGCAAGATTGCTGTGCTTGTCGCCAAAAGAACCTCTCAAAATATCTAGTCAAGATGTTGAAGCTCTAAAACTATTTAAAATACTTACATAAAATTAAAAATAAGAAAAGATTTTTAGTGGCTGTAATTTATTTTGATTTTATCAATAAATCTTATAGAATTTAGACTTTAAGCCTAAATCAACCCTAAAAGCTAGTCCGTAAGGTGAGAATTGGTTTAGCCTTTATAAGTTCTTATTAGCCATATCTATAGTCGATGTGAGACTTCAATACACCCCCTCATGCTTAAGATTGGATATCTAGAATGTGAAAATTATAGGATTTTTTTTGCAATATAGCAGCACTAGATAAGCCGCTGGACCAAGTTGGTAGCACTGCAAAATCCATGGGGCCAGGTTAATTACACAGGGTTTTTTTTTTTTTTTTATTTATTTATTTATAATCAAGGGTGACCCAATATCAAATCTACCATAGGCTCTGAGACCGTATTGAATTTGGGCTTTAAACATAACTCAATCCTAAAAGTTAGTTTGTAAGGTGAGAATTGCTTTAGCCTTTATAAGCTTGTATTTAGCCATATCTATTGTCAATGTCGGACTTCAACAAATCTAAATATTTATTTCCTTTGAGTTGTCATCACTCAATTTTTAGATATATAGCTTGTTAGGTTCTTTGTTTAGACAGTTAAAACGAACATCATGGACTATTGTGCAGTGAAGTTCTCCCGGAATCACCTTCCAATTCATGTAACCTCTTTTATTTAGGCTCTTTTATGAAAATAAGTCAATTTTGCAGTCCTGAGATTTTACTCTTATAAACGATTAAGTGTTCACAATCTTAAAATTGTGTCATTTAGAAATCAAGAATAGTTTGTCCAGTGTTTAGCTCTTCAAAACTAAAACTACCTCGAGCTCTTATAAATTGCTTTGCCTCACAACCAACATGAGCTGCCTATAATTTTTTTTTTTACCTATGAAATGCCTTGAACCAATCCTTTTCTAAAAACAATTGTTTCAAAAGAGTTCTTGAACCTACTTACGAGGCATAAGCACCGATGATATTGATAGTCTCGTGGAACAATTAACGTTAAAGATCTTGTCCTCAATCCATTTGACATCTACCTTTCTTTGTGTATCAAAGTTTAAATCATGTATTATCTAGCTTAACTTTTTCTCCAACCCATTTAGTTTCAAGACACATTATGTTAATCCTTCTTTGAATCACGGTTTTGACTACTTTCTAAGATTTATCTATTAAAGTACCAATATTCCATGAGCTGAACTTATTCAAATTTCTTGGACTAGCTTCTTTACCTACATTCATCTAGACAAATGTGAGGATCCTTGTTTATTTAACACTACATCTAGGTCTGATGCAGTGGCCTTAGCTCTTTAACATTGTACTTCAACCATACAGCACATTACTTCCAAGTAATGACGTAGCATTAGCACAACACTGTTACGAGTGATCCATGTATGGGTTTTGACAAGTTTTATATTGCTGTCAATGGCCTAACACAATCCTCTCCCTTTTATCTGGGCTTGGGACCAACTATGAGATCATAGGTAGACTTGTAAAGAGAAAAAGAAAGGATAAATTTTTGTATGCTGAATTTCTATGTAGATTGAATCTTGTATTGCAGCTGAGTTGTAAAATTTTGGTTCTTCTTGATTATGTTGCAGGAAAGTTTGTTCCTGGTGTTTATACTCTTGCTGTCTCAGAGGCTCTTCCAGAAGAGATGCAGGTTCATATTTTTCAATTAGTGTGATATAGATTTCAGAATATATTATTACTAAGTTGCTAAAGAATGATTCATAGCTATTTCTTTTCTAGTACATGATTTGACAGCTGACAAATAATCATTTGGTCAATGTATCCACCCACATTATTTGACTGGTCACTATACTTTGCTCCTTTTTAGGAAGTTGTGACATTTTTCTGCTAATTATATGACCACAATTACCAAAATAATAATAAAAGTGATGTAGACCTGTTGCTGTTTTAGTTGTAGAATCCATTTGAACAAGCCTTCTCTCCTTCCCTCCCCAACTTAAGTTTTGAAAACACCTGCAATGGTGAAAAATCTTCAAGAAACTAAGTTATTATGAAACTAGGGGTGTGCTCAGTAACTAGTGGCTTGAAAAGGAGGGGAAAGGAAGTAATGAAAAAAATGGAGAACCGGAGGAGGAGGAGGAGGAGGACGAACGGGAGGTGAAATCGTCATTTTCTTCTTGGTGGAAGAAGCTGCAAGGAGAATCATTAGATGAATTCCATCAATCAGTAAAGAAAGTGGAGTTGCCCATGTTTGATGGCAAGGATCCTGCTAGGTGGATTCACTAAGCAGAAATTTATTTCCAAGCAATGGAGACGAACCTCAAGGTTTGGGGGAATGTGGCTCACCAATGTATGGAGGGATCCACAATCCATTTCCTTAATGCTTTGCTTACGGATAATACAGAGTTGACTTGGGAGCAGCCTAAACAAGAATTGCAAGAGAGGTGTGGAGAAATCAGAGATGGGGATGTTTTCGAGCAACACTCAGCGCTCCAACAAGTTAGAGGAGTTGATGAATACATTCAAGAGTGTAAGCATTTGATTGCTCAAGTACTGAAACTACCTGATGAATAGTGTTTTGGGTATTTTATCCATGGGTTGAAGGAGGAAATCTGAGGAAGGGTGCAGAGTTTACAAACGTTGGGTCCTATATCTCGTAGGTGGTTGATGAGTTTGACGAGGGCAGTGGAGAGTGAGTTACTGAAGGGGAGTCGTGATCTGGTTGGGGCAAGGATATGGGCTATAGGATGGGTTTTGGTTTAGGTTCTTTGACCTGCTCCAGCCCAAACATCTTAGGCAATCCAAATCAGGTGGGCTGAGATGCTGAATCAGATTGGGTGATGGTTCGCAAATAGGAAGGTAATACAGGGAGGCTGGGAGGATCAACGTTGAAACAAAATGTATTGGTAGACAAATTTTGCTCAAGCCAAAGGGACAAGAGCATTAGACATCTCTTATCAAAAAAGGCTTTTGGACCACAAGCAGAAGGGTTTATGTTACAAGCGCGGTGGAAAATTTAACCCACTTCATCAATGCCCTGATCCTCAATTGAAAATAATGGTGATGGAAGAGTCCGATGAGGAAGGTGAGGCAAATGTGCTGGCAGCAGAAATTGATTGGGAAATGGAGTGCCAATTTTTGTCTTAGTTGATAGTGGAGCAACCCACAACATCATTTCCAAGAGATTGGTAAGGGCTATTGTTGGCTAGTGGAAGTAACTAAAATGATGAGTATTCGGCTATGGGATGGTTACAAGGGATCTGTTGAGGCGTAGTGGTTGAATTTGATGATCTCAAGACTACGATTGAAGCACTGCTTTTTGATTTGCAGGGAATTGATCTTGTGTTGGGAATCTCATGGTTGGCCTCTCTAGGAGAGATGCTGGTTGACTGAAGGAAGAAAACCATGAAATTAAAAAATGAAATAGGGTGGGTGCTGTTAAGAGAAGTTAATGTTAAATTGGACCAAGTAGCCTTGAGAATTTCTTTGAACCATCAACTCAGCTGATTGAAGGGTGTTTATTCTTGATGCGCAGCATGCAAACACAGAATTTCAGAAGAAAAAAATATTGAAGAGGAGCAACAACTAGAGGCAATGCTGACCCCATACGAGGAAGTTTTTATGGAACCAAAGGGCTTACCTCCCAAGCAACAAAGAGAACATGTTATCAACCTGTATAAAGGGCAGGGACCTGACAATGTTAGACCCTACTGCCATCCCCATCATCATAAGGTCATGATTGAGACACAAGTTAAAGAGATGCTTGATCTGGGATCATAAGGCACAGCCAAAGTGCTTTTTTCCAGCCCTGTGATCTTAGTAAAGAAGAAGGATCATGCTTTAAATAAGGTAATCATTCCTAACAAATTTCCTATACTGGTGATAGATGAACTATTGGATGAATTACATGGTGCACAATTCTTTTCTAAATTGGATCTCAAATTGGGTTATCATCAAGTGTTGGTGAGAAATGATGATGTGCATAAAACTGCTTTTCAAACTCATGAAGGGCATTGCGAGTATTTGGTTATGCCATTTGGATTGATGAATTCACCTTCAACCTTTCAAGCTCTAATGAACAAAGTTTTCAAAACCATGATGAGGTGGTTTATATTGGTGTTTTCTTGATGATATTTTGGTGTAGAGTCCAGATGGGAACACACACTTGAAGCATTTGACTGAGGTATTAAAGATTGCAGAAAGAGAAGTTGTTGGCAAACAGAAAAAAATGCTATTTTGCTCAATCATCTGTTAAATATCTTGGACATGTAGTCTCAAAAGGAGTGGTGATGGATCCTAATAAAATTGAGAGTGTGGCTCAATGGCCAGAACCCAAGACTACTGAAGAAGTGGGGATTTTTAGGCCTTACAGGCTATTACAGAAATTTTTTTCAAAACTATGGCAAAATATTACAGAAATTTTTTTCAAAACTATGGCAAAATAGCATGCCTGCTAACTGATCTCACTAAGAAAGAAGGGTTTAAATGGAATCCCAAGGTACGAAAGGCTTTTCAATTATTGAAGGATGTATTAACTTCAACACCTGTCCTAGCTCTTCCAGATTTTTCTCAACCCTTCATTATTGAGTGTGATGCTTCAGGTCATCGGATAGCCGCAATTTTAATGTATAATGACAGGCCAGTGGCTTATTTTGGTAAAGCTCTAAGTGAGAGGAACCTTTCTAAATCTGCATATGAGAAAAAATTGATGGCCATTCTTTTGGCTATACAACATTGGCGTCCTTATCTATTAGGAAGACATTTCACGGTGTATATGGATCAACAGAATTGGGCAGCTAAGTTGCTTGGTTATCAATTTAACATTGTTTACAAACCCAGCTCTGGAAATGAAGGTGCTGATGCACTCTCTAGAAGGTATGAGGAAAGAGAGTTATGTTCCTTGATATCATATCCTATGTAGGTTGATGGAAAACAATTAATCAAAATTTAGAAGGATGATGCTTAAAAAGTATTTTCAGCAGTGCAGAAGGAGGGGAATGTGAAACTAGGGTTTACCTATAAAGATGGAGTTTTGTTCTATAAAGGTAAATTGGTGATTTCTGCTCAGTCATAATGGATTCCTAAACTATTACAGGAATTCCACGCAAGGGGGACATTTAGGTTTCTATAGGACTTAGCTAATCTCTATTGGTTTGGCATGAAGAAAGTAATCCAGGAATATGTTAGGGGGTGTGACATCTGTCAACAGCAAAAATATATGGCTACTGCACTAGGAGGGCTGCTACAACCATTAAACATTCCAGAACAGATATGGGATTAGGTATCAATGGATGTTATTAGCGGGCTACCCAAATGAAAGAAGTTTGATGCTATTTTTGTGGTAGTGGAATGATTGTCCAAGTATACTCATTTTATTCCCCTCAAACATCCTTATACAACAAGTTTGGCTGAAATTTTTGCGAAAGAAGTGGTAAGGTTGCATGGGATTCTAATAGGAACTGAATGCAAAGTTGGATTAGTAGACCAACTCAGGAATTAATCCTTGATTTAAACATGAAACAGAAAACTGATAACAGCAAGAAGAACAAAGAAAGCTACTGAGAAAGAAATATCTCTCCATCCTGTGGCAATAACCACTCCCAAATTACTTGAAATATTTCCTGCCTTCTCCCCCTTGTCCATCCTTTCATATTACCCTTCCACTCGGCTGATTCCCGCATCTTTCACACCATTCCCTTCATGCCACATATTTAGTTTGTTAGAATCCCTCATAATAGACTCCTTGCTTACGTTCCCCATCTTACCCTTATGGTTATTTCTCCTTCTCTGATATGTCTTTACCCTTTACCGGAGGCCCAATTTGCATAGGCTCAACAATACCCCCTCCATCTAGATGCACCTTGTCCTCAAGGTGGAAATTTGGAAATATTGCCTGAATTAGGTCAAATTCCTCCCAAATACTATCTTCCTTAAGTAATTCTACCCATTTTATCACTTACCAACAACCATTCAACAGTTTCCGTGCATCCAGCAACACTTGAGGCTCACATATCCCTTTGGTCATGGATCGGTATTAAGCTTCCGCACTTGATCTTGCTACATCTTGCTTTTTGTTCCTCCATGTCACCAAGTTTCCCACCAGGCACATACAATATCTTGAAGTGGATTTTCTATCAACAACCGATCTAGCATAGTCTGCATCTGTGTATGCTTCTAGTAGTAACTCACTTTCTTTCTTAAAATAGCAATTCCCTTCTTGGGCTACCTTTTAATTATTGAAGAATTTTATTTACAACTTGTAGGTGTCTCTCGAGGATCATGCATGAATTGACTGACTATGTTGACAACATAGACTAGTCAGATTGAGTGTGGGACAAATAAATGAGTTTCCCAACAAGTCTCTGATACTGGGCTTTATCAACTACTTCAATTGGAGTTCCAACGATTTTGCACCCCAACTTGCCTATTTCTTTTAGGAGATCAAGGACATATTTCCTTTGAGATATGAAGGTGCCTAGTTTTGAATAAGCAACTTCAATCCGTAGGAAGTATTTCAATCTTCTGAGATCTTTAACTCAAATTGAGCTGCCAATTTTTCTTTAAGATTTGTTTTTCACCATCATCATTACTTGTAATAATCATATCATCTACATTGACTAAAAGTAGTGTTAGTTTACCTCAGTGTCAGTGTTTTATGAAGAGGGTATGATCACTTTGACTTTGCATATACCCCATGGAAACCATGGCTTGAGAGAACCTTCTAACAAGGAGATTGTTTGAGCCCATACAACGCCTTTCTTAATCTGCACACATTGTCTCCTTTGGAATCGTATCTAGGTAGTATCTTCATGTATACTTCTTCCAATTCTCCATGTTAAAAGGCGTTCTTTACAACAAATTGATGTAACTCCCATCCAAAATGAGCTACGAAAGAAAGGATAACTCTGATGCGTTCATCTTTGCCACCGGAGCGAAAGTCTCCTCATAATCAACCTCGTTTGTGTAAGTATAT